TGAAGGGCATGATTCATTGTCATTATTTTTCTGGTCTTCCTATCCATTGCTTTTAGTTCTGCTTGAGTCCAGTCCACTATTCCAGCTGTGTACCTAATGACTGGAATTGCTCAGGTGTTGATTGCCTTTATAGTATTTCCTCCATTGAGTTTGGATTTTAAGATCTTCTTCACTCTCTTGATGTATTCACCTCTAATCTTTTTCTTGACTTCAGTGTGCTTGATGTTGTCAGCTTGAAGGATACCCAAGTATTTGTAGTACTCTTCCTCATCCAGACTCTTAATGTTATTTTCGTGGGGCATCTTGATTCCTTCAGTTTTCACTACTTTTCCTTGTTCGATAGTAAGTGTGGCACATTTGTCCAAGCCAAACTCCATAACAATATCTTGGCTATATATACGGACAGTGTTGAGCAACGATTCTATTTCAGATGATGTTTTTCCATGCAGCTTCAGATCATCCATGTAAAGGAGATGGTATATTCTGGTAGATGTTTTTGATGTTTGATAGCCATGTCCTGAGTTATTCAGTATTATTGACAGATATTATTATTATTATTATTATTATTATTATTATTATTATTATTATTATTATTATTATTAGTCACCCAGCTGGTTTTCATGCCTAAAGCAGGACTTAGAACTCACGGTCTCCTGTTTTCTAGCCTGCTGCCTTAACCAAGTAGACCAAACTGACCTTCAATTATTATTCCTTTTTTTCCCTGAAGATTTTATATGTATAAAATTAGAAATATAGGAGGATGACTATTTACTTACTTATTCATCAAATCAATTTATGTAGCTGTCTATCTTACTAGGCAGCTCACAATATTAAAATCAATATAAAATATACAAACACAAAAGAAAACAAGAGATAAAACACACAGTAGCTGGAGAAGCATAAAATAAAGACCTCAGCACAGTCAGGAAATGGATTGTCATATACCGGGGGCAGAGATTTGAACACATAATCAGATTTTCAGGACCCTGCAGAGACCAGTAGGATTAGAGCCAACCAAATTTCTTGAGGGATAATGTTCTAGGAGAAAAAGTTATCCTATGGGGTTCTGCCAGCCAACTTACCTAGTGCAGCAGGCCCCCTCCCATGCTACTTTGGATAGGATAATAGAGACAACTGGGAAGAGTCAGCCCTATAAATAACCTGGCCCCAAGTCCTGTAGGGATTTAAAGATAACTATCAACTTGCACCCAGAAGCAGAATAGCAATCAATGCAACTTGCAGAACAATGTTTCACCTTCATTAAATAACTGACACCATTAATTTTGTACCAGCTGAAGCTTCCAAGAGCAACCCAATGTAGAATGTGATGCAGTAATACATCAGAAGATAATGAAGGCATAACTAAAAGTGAGCAAGTAGTCCTGATCCAGGAACAAGTGCAAATGATGCACAACACAAAAGTGTGCAAAGACCCTCTTAGCTAAGGCTGCTACTTGCTCTTTGAGAGGAGCTGTAAGTCCAGAAGGCCCCTAGATTGTATCCTGGCTCTGCAGCAGGGCCATCCCATCCAGAACCTAAAATGGAAGGTCCCTAAAACCAAAAGGCCCCAAAACTCAAAGCCATGTGATCTTGCTTGGGTTGAGCTGAAGTCCCTGAAAAAGCTTCTTGGATGAGAACTGAAACGTTTTCAAGGGAAAACAAAACTGAAAGTCCAGTTGCCTTTTGAACAGCATCTTTGGGACAACCACGACCTGGATGACTGAGAATCTCCATTGGGTTTAAGACTGCCCCATCCAGGCCCCACAGACTCCAGACAGTGATGCAAAACTTCCACACCAATATATACACAGCCAGGAATGGAGATACAAAGCATACCAATGATATCTCACCCCAATGACCTCACTCAGTGGCTTTATGTAGATGTTAAATATGAGGTGAGAAAGTGCCAACCCTGTGGCACCCTACAAAGTAGTGTCCAGGAGCTAAAGCTTTTCCCACTCATTAAACCCATAGGAAGGAGGACAATATTGTGCTGCCCTCTCCCAACTTCCAGAACCAATACAGAAGGATACCATAACTGATGGCATCAAAACTATATTACTACTATGTAGAAGAACTGTATTTAAAAAAAGAAATCTGTATATGGTATATGATGAAGGAAAAATGCAAAAATAAAATCCTATATTAAACTTTATAAAATACAAAACAAAAACAAAGAAAAAATAGCTCTTTTTTGCACAAAGCCCAGGCAGGTCAGGAGGCCCAGCTTCCAAAAACAAGGCAGGGGAGAGGGAAAGGCAGCAGTTGATAAAGCAAGTAATGGAATGCCAGTTGCACCATCCATTGACATTTGGAATCTTACTAAAATCATTTAATGTGCTCGTGTGTTAATACTAAGACTGTTAAGTACTCTTACTATGTACAGGCCACACTGGAATGTATCCCACCATAAAAGCTCTTTGTGAAACAACTGGGCCTTTCTGTACTAGTCTGAGATTTCACAATGATGTTTTGCAGGGGGGAAAAAACCAAAGCATAAAATGAATATATTTTTGCATAGGCAGCAATATGCAAAAGTTACTAGGCTCACCTTAGCATAGTCAAGGTTTTAGAATTATTTGAACACATCCAGGTACAATCTGCCTATGCATTGCCTTGATAGTATTTGTAGTATGATGAAACTATGTTATTATAATTTTTTAAATCTTATTTTCAGAAGAGGCTTGTGACCAGTAAAATTCTTCATGCAGTTTTCAGTTTTAGTTAATTTATAACCTAATACAGTACTATGTCTCATGTCATTAATCTACTTAACTTTTTAAGAAGAGACTGGACAGCCATCTGTCCGAAATGGTGTAGGGTTTCCTGCCTGAGCAAGGGGTTGGACTTGATGACCTCCAAGGTCCCTTCCAACTTTATTATTATTATTATTATTATTATTATTATTATTATTATTATTATTATTATTATTATTAACAACACTTCAAAAACAAATCAGCTGTCAGTCTTAGCAAGTATTGCATGTAAATTGTTAGCAGGTGAATACTACAGTTAAACCAATTAAGAGTTCTGTAGTAGGACACTTTACTATGTGTTCATTTTTATATACAATTATGCTGATTAGCACATTATTGAAAAATGTATAAACTGGCTTATTTATTTATTTATTTATTTATTTATGAGACTTATATACCGCTTTAAGTGCAAGCACTCTCTAAGCGGTGTACACCAGTAAGCAATGTATATATATATATTTACATTGCCCCCAATAATCTGGGTCCTCATTTTACCTACCCCGGAAGGATGAAGGCTGAGTCAACCTTGAGTCAGTGAGATTTGAACCGCTGACCTGCTGAACACAGTCAGCTAAAGTGGCCTGCAGTACTGCACTCTAACTGCTGCGCCACCTCGGCTCCAAGTAAAGAGGTAATAAACTTTTTAAAGTTTACCTCTTTACTGTTGCTTGTCCTTGCTTCACAATGTAAATATTATGTGTTGAACTGGCTTTTTCCCCCTTTTGGTTCAAATAACAGAACACATTAATAATGGGGCTGGTATCTAGAGATTTTTAATGGGGCTGGTATCTAGAGATTTTTCTTTAACATTAAAAACAGAGAATACTAAATGACGCATATAACTGTAGTTGAAAGTAAAGGAATTCCCAATCTGTATACTAGCTTTCTACTTATGGTAAATAAACCTATGATCTTGAAAGTGCTTGAAACAGAGCAAGCATAAAAAATAGCTCAAATAAATTCAAAGATGGAAAAGAAAATTCTAAAATAAAGTAGAAAGTCAAAATAACAAAGCAAAATACCTAAATCCCTAAATTATATCTACTTCTTAGTATAGGTATATAATACCCCATTCAAAGATAAGTAGATTAGTAGATAGTAGGTAAGTAGGTAGGTACGGTAGATAGACATCAGACAACTGAAATTATGTTAATTTTTCTATTTTTGAATGTTGTGCTTCAATGTTTTTAACAGTGAATTAAAGCAAGAGCTTATGTCTGGCTTGCCTTCCCATCAGTGTAAAGCTGATTCAAGTCTCAGAGTTGACAAATTCCATTAAGCCAACATGCAAGCATATCTAGATATGCAAGCATATCTAGAGTTTTTTTTATAGATGGAAAATTCAAATTTAGGAACTATAATTCAGCAAAACATTAACATTTTTAACCTTTACCTGGCTTCAAAAAACCTGGTTTATCATAGTCATAATATTTAAGCAATAAGAAATTACAAGTGGACATATTCATAAGATATGCACCAACATGCTTTTACATTTATTACAACTGCACCATAAAAATGATGAGAGCCAACCTTTTTTATACATTCACTGAGGAATTCAAGAGTATTTTTTCTAAACTATTTTTTTTTTTACTTAACAATTCAAAAATTGCTGGGGAGAGAAAGGGAGAATGTTCCTTTATTCTGTAAGTTTTGGGTTTGGAGCATGCAACCATCCAGTCTTGAAGTGAAATAAATTTCAGAGGATCATAGCAGCTTTAATTCTTTAGGCCAAATAAATCTCCAGAGGCTTTTTGGGCCTAGCATCTGGTACCCCTAAATGTCTGCCTGGGTAAACACATTCCAATGCAGAGGAGGCGGTGTAGGCCAAGTTAGATAAAATCTCCCTGCTACACATTTGCACTTTCTTCCAATGACACTAAATATTAATGAGTGGCCTACATTAAATCCACAAGCACCTGACTCTCCCTCCCCTTTCTCCTTCTGCAGGGCAGCTGCCCAGGCGCATCACCGCAGAAACCATCATCTTTACTAGCAGGAACCCATCCTCCCCTCCTTCCCTCTGCCATCCCTTCCCCCCCACCGCCAACTGGGGACTCGCCAGAAGGCAAAGGGAGGCTAGTGCAGCTGAGCAGGAAGAGAGCAGCACCAGCTGTGCATTCATTTCCAGAGGTTTCAATTCTAGCCAGCCTCGCTATTCTTCCTTTCAACAGAGGCAGTGAAATTATAAAGTATTAACATTGGGGGAAAGGGATAGGACAGGCAAAAAAGAGAAATAGGATGTACCTGTGCCTGCAGGCCAATCATGTCTTCTTTGAAGAACCAGTGCAAATGTTAAATTCCTCACCCTTCAACCAAAAAAAGTTGCCATCTGATTGGGCAAAAAGTCATGAGTTGGCCAGTTTTTTTCCCATTCCTTCCCTAGAAAAGAAACAAAAAGCAAAAGGAACAAAAAAAGTTATTTATCTACTCCATCCTATCTCAACCCGTTTTAGTTTTAGTTATATACCAAATTAGGAGAATCAACAGCTTGTGTTTCCAGCCTGCAGAATATATTGGGTAGCCTCCCTAGATTTCACCCAGGGCAACCCCAATAGCTAGACGGAGTTCTAAACTTGCAAGAAAATCCAACTGGTAGGTTAACCTTGGACGTAGAATAAACTCTTCCCCAACAACTTATCTGTCTTCAATAATTCTTGAAATTACTACTTGACTTTCTGGGCAACTAATAAAATATATGTAAAACACATTAAAAACCACACCATGACAACAATAATATTTACACACACAATAGATTGAAGATTTTAGCTCGTTTTATATTTTTTATATTTTCCCCATATGTCGCCTTGGTCTGCTAAAACCTGCATGCTAATTAACTAAGTCAAAACTGGCCACTGGTGGGGGCAGTTCTAAACTGGCAAAGGGCTGTTCATTTCCTACTTTACTTTTGGTCCCTCCTCTCTCTCTCTCCCCCAAACAGCAGGTGTGTCTGGGAAGGACAGCTCCTGTAATTTTGAAATGAGCTCTGGAGGACAGCTTGCCAAGTGAAGCCTGAGGGAGGCAGACTGTCATCCCACCCCCCACCCCCACCCCGACCTATTTCTTTGGCTACTTTATTGGTTGTACACATTTCTGGAGAACTGTATAAATCATCAAAAGGCCTTATACATCAAGATTGCCTGCCAAAGGAATACAGCAGGGTCAGCTTACCTAAAATGTGTGAACTATACAATGTGTACAATGTGGGGTCTTTCCCTGGATTTTTGGCCATTGTAAGAGAGTGACTGAGTGTATAGGAGAGAGAAAGAGAGAGGGGGGGGGAGAGAGAGAGAAAGAGGGGAGGAGGAAGGGATTCATGAGTGTAAGTTTCAGGCTTCCATTCCCCCCCCCCCCGCCAATTAGTCACTTTGTCCCTTTTTGGGGTGTTTAAGGAGAGATGTTCCATGCACCAATTTGATCCTTAAATGTCCCTAACAATATGCCAAACATTGGGCTCCTCCTAGCCCAGCAACCTTGGGAACCACAAAAGTATCTTCTCATCCAAAGTGCAGGAAAATCCTACTCCTGGCCATGGGAATAGATCCCAAAGGGAATTCATATCTTTGTTTCAAAGAGATGGTTGGCCTCTTTCGGTAGATCCTCTTTTATTATACACAATTATATGCAGACACATGAAACATTATTAATATATTCTGCCATAAAAAGACCTTTGAGTTTTGCTGCATGTATTCTCAACCAAATTGAAAAGAAAGATATAGAAACTACTGAATGGACACATAAAAATCTCATTTTTTTGAAGGCCAAAGTAAAAACAAGTTGCTGCAAACCTCTGTCTCAACTTATCTATCATGAAATTCCTGCCTTGTCCTTAGAGATTTTTTCCCACTGGCCAGGGTTTATCTTTAGAAGTAGGGAAAGTAAATTATTCTCTTTGATTCCTTGCCTGTCCTACACACACATCACATCCACACTCTACCCATTTCCCTTTATGCTGTGTTCCATCCAAACAGCCCAAAGTGGTCCTTGATTGATGGCAGTGTTTGCCCGCTAAGCGCACCCTGCGGTCCAATCCTTGCACATTCCCCAATTCCTCCCCAGTCCCTATTCAAAGACCGACTGTGTCTCATGTCAGTCCCCGAGGTGCTATTAATTAAAAATACATCCAATTAAATGGCAGGTGAGGACGTGCCATACGAGCTCCCTCCCCCTCCTGCTACGATTGGCTCATCTGTGCTTCAAATTGAACAAGATGCAGAGAGAGGCTACAGGAGAGCTCTCTGAACCTGTGCCAACATAGGCCATGCCAGTCTGTTCGGGTGGTGCTGTGAGTGTGTTGCTGTGTGTGCATATGCAAAAGAGATGTGGCAGGCTGATTTCCATAGCGAATGGTTGGCATTATTATAGTTTGTCAGCTGCGTCCTGCCCCATTTTTATGCTTGCTTTCTCCCAAATACTAAATGAAACTAGGGGGAAGAAAAGCTTATCTAAGAGAGTTTGCTAAACCAAACAACAGAATGGAAGCCTGCATGAAAAGTTTTGGCTATCCATTTTAAAGTGTGACACTAATTTCAATTTCTCCACTGCCTTCCAAGCTTTTTTTGTCCGTTTTAGCAGACTTCCTCTTTCTTAGTTTGTGCTGACTTTATTTCAGTTCTGTGTTCTCCCAGGTCACAGAATCCAGTTGTAGGAGCTTCACAATCAGTTTGTAGGAACCCAAAGTTGGATTGGGGATGGGGAGAACAAGGAAGTCTAAATTATTTTTCAATCTGGCTTCCATAATAGGAATTAATTCCCCACACTGCTAATATCCCTGACAGATGGGTATTGTATCACATACTTAATAACAATAATCGAAATATAGTATAGAAGTGGTGAGACAAGAGACAGGCAAAATATGGAATCTCTGAATACGGATTTAGTCAACAATGCTAATTTTACCCTTCTCACAGTGGTACAATTACAAAATATTGACCTCTTTTTTTTTTTTTGCCAAACTGGTAATGCAGGCAACAATCTAATAGCGTTATCTTTTAGTAATGCTGAAGTAAGGGAAAATATATGGAACCAAATGAATATTTCAAGAAGTTGGTTGTACTTCAATATCAGTCATCTTGACACATAATAATATAAACATTTTTCATGGGCTCTTTCAAAGATCTGATTCATAGTTATATATCAGCAGGTAACATGACAGCTAATTCTATGGTCCAACCCATACTTTTTTGAAAGGAAGCACTGAATATACAATGGGATTTATTTCATTTATTCATATTTCAAGTAATACAATCCATAAATTCTATAAATATTTTCCTTGGTCGTGGATAAGTACAGATTGACTGATATTGATTAATTATATACTGAAACTAAATTTTGTTGCACTGAACTGGAAACGATGTTTTTAAACGCCATTCAAAGATAGATAAAAGTATGACTCTTAACTGCAATATCTAAAAATGACCAAATTTCAATCAAACATGAAATTGGCATTTTACATTTCAAAAGTTGAGATAGTAACACTGAAAAAAAATTCTTGGGCTGAAAACTGAGCTTTTCTTGTCAGACAAACGTGGCAACAAAAGTATTCCTTGTGAAAGTAATATTGAATGGAGTGTGGAGCAACACAACAAATCAGAAAAATCTTGCAATGGCCAAGAAATGGGGTAGTTGATTCATTTTAGTTTTGGAATCTGCTGTATTTCTTGCTGACTTCACATTCCTGCTAATTGGAGATTTTAATCTTCAGTGACTTTCTGCTCAGGGGTGCTGACAGGATCACCAGCTGTGCAGCTATTCCAGCGGTGGTGGCTTTTTAATCAAGCCATCTTGGCAGAGAAGGTGGGATAGTGGAATTGGGGAAAGGGAGGGTGAGATTAAGAGGATGAGGAAGGTGAGAGCTTGGTGTTTGCCCCCTCCCCCCTCCAAGGACAAAACTAATATGTGGAGGGAAAGAAAGAGAAACTGATTTTCCCCTGCAGAAACTAAGAGTAAGTCTTGGCAGGATCCCAAGATATGAGTTTATGCAGACTGCAGTTTCCTATCCGCTATATATTAAAACAGTAAAATTTTAAATTATGTCAAGGAGCAAAGAAAGAAAACTCCAGACCTCTTCCTTTTTGTTGCAATCTTTAGCTACTATTTTAGAAGGTAGATAGCGATTTTTGGTTAGATATAGTAAGGATAAAGAAATTGAATTTCTGCTCACAATACAGTTAAATATCTTCCCCTTCTTTCCCTCACAGCCATGATTCAAGCACTGAGGAGACACCGCAAGTATTTATATTGGAGTAGGGGATATATGAGTCAGCTCCAAGATTTGACACTAAGCCAATAGTCCCTATGACTCATGGATAACTCTTATGTATCACTCTATTTGATCCATGGGCATTTAATGTCCCTCTAATCTGCGACTCATGGCCTAAAGTTCATCAAATAGTTTGACAGAGAACAACATCCTTGATATCCTCAGATTGCCTTAATAAGCATTTTTGGTCTTCTGCAGATGGAGATCTTTTCCTAGCTGTCAAGTCTTATCATTGTCATGGCAGATTTTTCCTCTAAAATTTGCCCTTTTAGGGAAAAAAATCAGCTAGGGCAAGCATCTATAATACACAGCTTGGTGGCTGCAGGCCTTCGATTCAGTCCCTGCGACAAAGCCTTGGCGAAATCTGACAGCCCCACCAATAACTACAGCTGAATTGCTTTTATTCAAGAGAATAATTGTTTTATTTAAGAGGTTAAAAGGAGAAAATGACAGAGAATTATTCTATGAATGATATTTAATTTTTAACAAAACTATAATTAAATTAAATCCAATGCTCTTTTATTTTGCCCCAACCCCAATTTTTAGAATGTTAAAAAAGGCTGAAAAGATTTGCAGAGCCCATTTAGGAATCCTTCAGAAAGAGAAAAGAAAGTACATTACCCCCCCCCAAAGTGTGCATATATTTGCATATGCTAATTTATGTGCATAAATGCCAAATTCAAAACAATTTTGAATAATCTAAATCATTTTATACCTTTTGGCAAATCGACAGTATGATAATGACTAGGACAGTGTTTCTCAACCTTGACAATTTTAAGGCATGTGGACTTCAACTTCCAGAATTCCACAGCCAGCAATGCTGGCTGTGGAATTCTGGGAGTTGAAGTCCACATGCCTTAAAATTGTCAAGGTTGAGAAACACTGGACTAGGAGGTCTCTGCACCAGCTCAGACTGCTGATCTGGAGGGAAGTGCTCTTAGGACTCTTTATCTTTAAAGTAGATAAGGATTGGTCTGTACTTCATATAGAATAGATAGTTTGTACCCTTATAGCTTCACTACCTATTTTGGCAATCATTGTGTTTATTGTGTAGAGCAGTATGTGGCCTAGTGGGGAAGACACTTGCCTTCCACTTGGAAGGTTGAGAATTCAATCCTAG